AGACTCTAGCTTTCATATGATTATTACTTGTGGTATTGGTTAATAATATTATATGTCAAAATTTTCTTAAGGCAGACTAACTTGCAATACACAAAGCTATTTGCTAGCATTATAACCTATTCATCTGATTCAATACAATTAAAAATACATCATTACCTTGGCTCTTTTGTTAACAATGGATTTAGATTCTGAAGAATTATCTACAAACCTGAACCCCAAATCATCATCTAATGATTTAAATAATTTTGAAACTCACAATTATCCTTCTAATAAAAAAATAACATATAAAAAACATAATAAATATTATCTTTATGAAATTATTAAAGAAGGAATTTATCCTGAAACTTTAAAATATACTAAATCTAATGGAAAAGGAGATACCTGTCCTATACCCAATGAATACTTGGTTGAAACCGAATTTGGGAGAACAACTAAATATAAATTTCAATGTAGTATTAGATATTATAACAACAATCCTATATATTATTTGAATTGGAAAGATGGTGAAGGAAAAATTCATCAAGTTACTTCTCAAAAGTCTTCAACAGATGCAGCTCAAAAATATTTTCAGGTATCTAAAAATAAAAATCTTTATTAATAATCTTTATTAATTAATTAAATACAATCTATTGTCAAAATTTTCTTAATAATAAATAAAACTTTGCATTTAATAGGCAAATGATAAAAATACTACAAACATGTCTGGAATATTGTTATTTGGGCTTCAACTTCAATGTGTACATAACCAACATATTCATAAACAGAATAAAAATAAAAAGAATAAACTTATCTCTTTTGAAGAAGCTAAAGATACTACATGTAGATATCGTTTAAAAAGTCTTGGAAACCAATTTTTGGATGATTTTAATAAATCATCTAATTCCATTTTAAACTCCAATTCAAGTGAAATTGTTGGGATTACATTAAAAATCAATGATCAACTATACCAACTTTGTTTTAAAGAAGATGAGGGTGAAAAAAAATTACATGCTGAAGCAGTGGCTCAACAACTTGATGTTCATAACATTTCACAGGCTGGATATCGTAGCTTAGCTAGAATTGAATCAAATTTACCAAGAGAAAATATGGTATCAAATGTAAAGAAAGAAATAACTAACTTGATGAATAATGAAATTCCAATAGTTCCTTTAAATCTTGATTTTCAAAATAATGATGTTGAAATTAGAAATGAAATAATAAATTCTCAAGATCAAGGTGGATATCGAAGCATAAAAAAAGTGTTGGATTATGTGATTAAGATTTTAATTAAAAAGAACATACTTGATCATTCCTTAGATAATAAAATTCATATTAGAATCTCAGGAGATGGCAGGAATGTTGGAAGAAAAATTATAATAATAATAATGTCATCATATGAGGAGGATTAGAAGTGGAAAATAATAATCTATCATTGATTGTAGTTTTTTTATTTTATCATAAATATAAATATTAATGAGTTTTGTGAAAGATAATCAAATCTATTATTTATTTATTGTTATTATTGTCCTGGGATGAAGATTATTTACAAATATAAATTTATGCAACATCAATCAATCTCCATTTTTTGGAAAACATCAGCTACTGATGGATAATGATGTAGCTGGAGGTTGTTGGCAGTTGGTGTGATTGGTGGTGATCACAGAGCAATTGGTGGTGGTGAGACAACAGGTGGTGGTGGAGTAGCAATTTGTAGTGGTGGGGCAACTGGTGTGAATTTTTGACATTGACATAAAAAGTTTCTTTTAAATTATGCATAAATAAATAATAATATAAAAATATGATTATTTTTATTTATTATAATTACCTATTGTTCTAATTTCTCTGCTTTTGGTTGTTATAGAGAGAGTTTATTAAGATGGTCATTAGAGAGAGAAATTAATTATAAAAAATTGAAACAGTGACAAAAGGGAAGAGAAATTTTACTTAGTGGTCATTATAGAGAGAGTAGACTGTATCTGATCATCACAGTCTTGTATGCTTCATACATCTTATCTTCTCCACTCACCTCCCACCATCTTCTTCCATCATACAATTCAATTTTTTCAACATGATAATTGGAACAACCACTATTTATTTTTTTAAAAAATTTCTTATACCTATAAGTTTCCTTGTAGTAACAGGTTACACTGTTGAACTTTATTAGTGGTGGAGGTCTTCAACATACACTTTCATAATAAAATTTTTTTTGAAAAAATTTATACAGTCAAACCTCGTCACAGCGGATTGATGGGACCAGCCAAAAAAATCCGTTGTGACAAGAAATCCGCTATGGTG